GACAGCCCTAGGACAGCCCCAGGGCACCCCCGGCGCACCCCCATGGCACACCCGTAGAACCCGAAGGACAACCCCGGGGAACCCCCGGGAAACCCCCAAGTGACCCCTGGCGCGCCCCCGGGAAACCCCTGGGACCCCTCAGGAGACCCCCGGGGCACCAACGGGACAGCCCTGGGACAGTCCCGGGACAGCCCCCGGATAGCCCAGGGACTGCCCCGGGATAGGCCCGAGGCACCCCCGGGGCATCGGCGGGACACCCCCGGGGCACCACTGGGACACCCCCGAGGAATCCCCGGGGCATCCCCACGACATCCCCGGGACTCCCCGAAAGGCCCCCAGGAGACCCCCGGGGCACCCACGGGATAGTACCGGGACTGCCACGGGATACCCACGAGACAGCCCCGGCTCACCCAGGGCACCCCCGACCCCGGGGAACCCTAAAGGCATCCCTGGGGGATCCCTAGGACACCACCGATACTACCCCGGGATGCCCCCAGGAGATCCCCGGGGCACCCTGGGGGTACCGTCGGGACGCCCCCGGCACCCCCAGGTCACCCTCGGGACACCCACGGGAGACCCCCGGGGCAACCCCGGGGCATCCCCGGGAGACCCCCGGCGCACCCACGGGAGACCCCCGGGACAGCCCCGGGCCACCCCGAGGGCACCCCCAGAGAATCCCCGGGACACCCCGGGATAACCCAGGGTCATCCGGGGCACCCCCGGGACACCCCCGAGGAATCCCCGGGACACCCCCGGGACTCCCACGAGAGGCCACCGGGGTACCCCCGGGGCACCCACGGGATAGCCTTGACACACCCTCGAGACACCCCCGGGATTCCCCCGGGTCACCCGGGGCACCCCCGGCCCCAGGGAACCCTCGGGACACCCGAAGGCCTCCTTGGGCCATCCCCGGGACACCCCCGGGACCACCCCGGGAGATCCCCGGGGCACCTCCGGGACACCCCCGAGGAACCCCCGGGACAATCCCGGGGCACCCTCGGGACACCCCCGGTGCAGCCCCAGGGCACCACCGAAGCACCCCCGGGACACCCCCGAGAGGCCCCAGGGCACCCCCGCGGCACTCTAGGGCCACTCCCGGGACATCCCCGGGACGGTCCCGAAAGCGTCCCGGGACAGCCCCGGGGCACCACCAGGGACCGCTCGGGACACCCCCGGGGCACCCTTGGGACAACCCCAGGGCACCCCCGGGCACCTCCAGGGCACCCCCCAGTACTGCCCCGGGACAATCCCAGGACAGCCCCGGGACAGCCCCGAGATAGCCCCGGGGCACCCCCAAGGCACCCCCACGGCATCCCCGGGACACCCCCGGGATACCGCCGAGGAATCCCGGGGGCATCCCCGGAACACCCCCGGGACTCCCCCGGGAGACCCCGGGGCACCCACGGGACAGCCTCGGGGCACCCCCGGGGCATCCCCAGGACACCCCCGGGATACCCGCGGGTCACCCGGGGCACCCCCGGGACACCCCGAAGGCATCCCCGGGACACCCCCGGGACTACCCCGGGGCACTCCCGAGTCACCCCCGGGGCACCCCCGGGACAACCCCGGGGCACCCCCGGGACACCACCGGGAGCACCCCCGGGAGACCCCTGGGGCATCCCTGGGAGACCCCCGGGACGGCCCCGAGAGCGTCCCGGGACAGCCCCGGGGCGCCCCTAGGGCACCAGGAGAACCACCCCGGGAGACCCCCGGGGCACCCCCGGGAGACCGCTGGGGCTCCCCCGGGGGACCCCAGGAGACCGCCGAGAGATCCCCAAGACTCTCCCGGGAGGCCCCCGGGAGATCCCCGGGGTACCGCCGGGGCAACCCTGGGGCACCCCCGGCACAGCCTCGGGACAGACCCGGGGCACCCCCGGGGCATCCTGGCGACGCCCACGGTGCACCCCCGGGACAATCCCGGGACACCCTCGGTGCACCCCCAGGGCACCACCGGGGGCACCCCCAGGACACTGCCGGGATTTTCCCGGGAGACCCCCGGGGTACCCCCGGGAGACGCCCGGGGCACCCCCGTGGCACCCCCGGGACAGCCCCGAGACAGCCCCAGGACGGCCCTGAGACGGCCCCGGGACTGCCCCGGGACAACCCCGTGGCACCCCTAAGAGACGCCCGGGACACCCTCGGGGCGCCCCCTGGGCACCCCCGGGAGACCGCTGGGGCACCCTTGGGAGAACCCCGAGAGAACCCCTGGAGTCCCCTGGGAGACCCCCGGGAAACCCCCACGAGACCCCCAAGATAGCCCTTTCCCCATATTATTATCTGTGGGGTTCTCTCAGATTCTCTCGGTAATCTCCGCCCTTGCGCCGCCCCTGCTCTTCGCCTCTGCTCTGCACCTGCTCATCGCCTCTACTCTGCCCCTGTTTATCAAGTCTGTTCTTCCGCAGGTAAAGATTTCCGTGGTGTGCTGGACTGGCGACATGATCACGATCGAGGTCGGAGAGAGCCGGTCGATCAACTATATGACGGGGAATGAGTACAAATTGAAGCCGATCGGCGACGCCAAGCCGGTGGGATCTTCGCTTATGCCAGAAAGATCGGGATGATTCCCTCGTCGAGTGCTTAATTTTTTTCCTTTTCAGTAACTTTCATGTAGATTTTTTATGGATTTGATTGAAATGGAGAAGGAAAAAAAAAGAATTGAAGTTAATTTACAAATGATTTATGCCTCTTAAAATGTATCATATTAGTTTATCGTTTAGAATTGTGTTACTACGAATTGCGTTACTCCAATGGTCGTTTGGAGTTTATCAATTATTTAACGTATATTATTTCAAATACTATTACATGTTCTCAAAAATGTAAAACCAAACGCATTTTCAGTTTTTTAAAATAATTTCTCAATAAAACTACTAAACGCATTTTCAAAAATAATTTATACATGAGATTAAAAACGTTTTCATTTCTATTTTCATATAAAAAATAAAATTATTTTAGAACGGATTCCAAACACCTAAAAGAATAACTTCTATTGTGCGTCGTTTCGTCCTGCGATCTATGTGTGCTAGACGTTATTTGAATTGTTAAAAACGATGTCGTTTTGAACGATACTTAACGGCTAGCACCAACGGTTTGTAGGCGTTAAACTTGGGGCTTACCGTATTCCCAAATCAGAGAACCCACGCCCTCATCGAGGGCATTACGGTCAATTCGAACACATTATCCCCTCACACTGGCTTCACCCACTTGATCCATTCCACTTTGCACACTCAGAGACTCAGACTCGGATAGAACAACGCTTTAACAATGGCCGTCTCCATTGCTTCTCTCACATCTTCACTCTCCTCTCTCTCATTTTCCTCTCAAATTTCCTCCAAACCAAACAGTCTTTCCTTCCCCCGATCGAAGTTCATCTCGGTCTCGCACGCCGCCAAATTTCCTTCGCTCCTCGTCTCCGCTTCCGTTGCTGCTCCCGAGGAATTGGAGACCGCCGACCTCGAGAAGTACGTGAAGTCGAGGCTTCCCGGCGGTTTTGCTGCGCAAACGATTTTCGGCACCGGGCGCAGAAAATCCGCCATTGCTAGAGTTGTCCTCCAAGAAGGCACTGGCAAAGTCATCATCAATTACCGTGATGCCAAGGTCCGCTACCTTTTCCTATCTCTGAACCTATTAACATGTGTAGTTAGGGTTTTTGTCTGTCCGAATTGTTAATTTACCTTAGGCATTTGGATTACCTTGCGGATTGGCGTTCTGGATTGGTCGAGAGGATTCCTCTTTTCTCTACATGTCTTATGGGCTATGTGATTGATATAGACTAAAAAGAACTAGGGTTTCCTGATTACTTGTGTGATTTTGTTATTCTTGATGCCCCAATTTGTTGCGGTGCTGAATGAAGGCTTTCGTAGCATTGAGTGGGTCTATGGTTGTTGATTTGGATTCAAATTTATGTCTTTCAATTGCTAATTGAGTATGTATGACTTGGAGAGCATCTGGGGAACAAATGATTCTGTATTTAATCCAATATGTTCTATTTTCGTGGCAATACACTGGCATTTTGCGTAGTTATCAAAATCTAGGATCTTGATTGGCAAAAAAGCAGTTCACTGATAATCAATATCAGCGAGATTACGGGTGAGATATATTATAATGCATCTCTATGATAATCATTGAGCGATGAAAACGAGGGGGAAAGTTGAAGGGCTTCTTCTGGCCATTAGAAAATCTTTGTGAATATTCAACGTAAAGTAAGTGCATTTGACTCCAGCTTGGGAAAAGAATTATAGTTAATTGAGTGGACAGATTGCACAAAGGACACGTGTGCGCGCTACTAGATGTGCCTATTTTTGCTTTGACTTAATTTTAGCTCTTGATTTTATCAATTAGTTCATGAATATGTGCCGTTAATTTTACTAGTGGACAGTCAGGTAGAGTTGTTAATTTTACTAGTGGACAGTCAGGTAGAGTTGTACCTTGGAGTTGGAACGGGAGAATGGCAGAAAAATATTGTTAGCTGCAGAGGACTTGGCAAATTTCATTTATGCTTCTTGATAGAAAACCAGGAATTCTGGGTGGTTTTCTTAGCTGTTATTAATCAAACTGACAAAACGTGAATACGGAAATTACAGATAGAAGGAATTCGAGGTTCCTCTGCCTCCAACATTCAGACTCAATTCTCAATACAATACCCTCCCTTCCCACTACAAGCTCTCTTTTATAGACTCCTCACTCACGGTATTCCCCGTGCAAACCAATTCCTAACGGCATGCCTGACCTCAGCGTGAAACTCGATAATAACTGCCAAGTCAGCCAATACCTCTTCCTACTACGCCTCCCTATGAGAATCAACTATTGCCCCCTTGCTCCTCCTAGAGTATACGAATTTAATGGGAGGGGCTTGGGCTCTAACATCTGCCCCCCCCCCCCGACCCAACCCGCGCCCAACGGCAAAAAACCTTGTCCCCAAGGTTAAAGCCTGGAAACTGGGTTTGAATGGTGAAGACAGGCTCCCATGTTGCATCACCGCTTGGTAGACCATCCCACTGAACCAACACCTCCGGTACTTGTTTACCACCCACCGATCTAACTCGGGAATCCAGAACTGTCGAAGGTTGAACATCCAACTCCAGTTCGTCTGAGAGGTTGGGAGGCAGGGGCAAACCAGAAACCACCATTCCCCTATACAGTTTCAGTTGAGACACATGAAAGACAGGGTGAATCTTAGCTGTGGAAGGCAGCTTAAGGCGATATGCCACGGGGCCAATCCGTTCTTCTACCTCGAAGGGACCATAGAATCGTGGACTCAGCTTTTCATTAGGAATGCGGGCTAATGATTTCATGTAGTACGGGCGTAATCGCAGCAGTACCTGGTCACCTGTGGCGAAGGAGACGTCCCGGCGATGACGATCCGCAAACTTCTTCATCTGCTGCTGAGCCGACAGTAGGTGTTCTTTCAACAGGTCAATTGTCTGGCTCCGCAGCCGCAGCTGTTCCTCGACTCTTTGTACTACTGCGGATCCCTCCTGGTAGCGGTGCAGGGTAGGCGGGTGCCGGCCATAGACTATGAAGAATGGGGTGTATTTTGTAGAAGAATTATAATTGGTATTGAACCAATATTCAGCCCAGGGAAGAAAAACCTGCCACTGCCGGGGTTTGTCATTAGCGAAGCACCGTAAGTATGTCTCTAGACACCGATTGGTGACTTCCGTCTGCCCATCCGATTGCGGGTGGTAGGCGGAGCTAGTGTGCAACGTGGTGCCCTGCAGCTTGAATATCTCCCACCAGAACAGGCTCATAAATAGTGGGTTGCGGTCACTAACAATGGTCTTGGGCACCCCGTGTAAACGGATGATTTCCTTTACGAAAGCCTCGGCAACCTGTTTGGCGGTGAATGGGTGGGCCAGAGGGCAGAAGTGGGCATATTTGGACAAACGGTCCACCACAACCAGGATGGTATCCGCCCCCTTCGATCTTGGCAGCCCACTGATAAAGTCCATGGATATGTCCTCCCACACACGCTGGGGCACCTACAGGGGAGTTAACAGCCCTACTGGAGATAAAGCTTCGGTCTTGCATTGCTGGCACGTTACACAGCTCGCCACATACTCCCTGATTACCTTCTTCATCCCCTTCCAAAAAACCACTGCCGCTAAACGCTTGTACGTACGAAGGAACCCGAATGCCCTCCAATGACTGAGTTATGGAACTTGTGAAGGAGGGTCCTCACCCATGGTGACGAGGCTGGAATAACTAAACGTGTGTTAAATAGGAGCAACCCGTTTTGAACGCTATAACCAGGAACCGACCCTGCACCAGGCTGTAGGTTGGCTATCAGTGCTGCACAGGGGGTCTCCAGCCTGTTCCTGTCGAAGGGCGTCAAGGTCAAGTTGCTGAGGAATGGAGATTGCGGAAAAGGTGGGGATGTCGGTCTCTTCCCTTCGAGACAAAGCATTGGCCACTCGGTTGGCGGCTCCGGGCTTGTATTGGATCTCAAAATCATAGCTGAAGAGTTTGGTCACCAACCGAAGCTGATCAGGAGCCAGAACCCGCTGATCCATGAGGTGGCAGAGGCTCTGCTGATTGGTACGGATGACAAAATGTCTTCCAAGGAGGTAGTGCCGCCATTTTTGAACGGCGAGGACGATGGCTAGCAATTCCCTCTCGTACACCGACTTCCACCGTGCGGTTAGGGACAGTCCCTTGCTGAAATATGCCAGAGGTCGCCCCTCCTGCATTAACACCGCACCTACACCACTGCCCGAAGCATCAGTTTCTAAAACAAAAAGTTTTCCAAAATCAGGCAAGGCGAGAACTGGGAGTTCTGCCATCAGGTTCTTAAGTTTCTGAAATGCCTCTTCTGCTAGTTGAGACCATTGAAAAGTCCCCTTCTTCAGCAAGTCCGTCAGAGGTCGAGTGAGCTTCCCATATCCAACCACAAACCGGCGGTAGTACCCGGTCAAGCCGAGAAATCCCCTAAGTTCCCTTATCGAACGAAGGGTAGGCCAAGAAGTAATGGCCTGCACTTTCGACGGGTCTGCCACAATTCCCTCTTTTGAAATAATGTGGCCGAGGTAGTCCACTTGCCTACTGCCAAAAATACATTTTTTCTGGTTGGCGTATAACTGTTCCTGGTGCAGCATCTGTAACACCAGCTCCAAAATGCCGAGTATGCTCCTCGCTTGACCGGCTGTAAATTAAAATATCGTCAAAGAAAACGAGCACAAATTTACGTATGAATGGTCGGAATACCGTATTCATTAGCGATTGGAAGGTGGCAGGGGCGTTGGTCAGCCCAAAGGGCATCACGAGAAATTCGTAGTGCCCTTCATGCGTACGAAACGCTGTTTTCTCCACGTCTTCTTCCCTTACACGAATTTTGATGGTACCCTAAACGGAGGTCCAACTTGGAGAAGACACTGGCTCCTTGTAATTCGTCCATCAGCTCGTCAATTATAGGAATGGGAAATTTATCCGGGATTGTCAGCTGGTTGACGGCACAATAATCCACACAAAATCTCCAGCTGCCGTCTTTTTTTTTTATCAGCAGAACAGGGCTCGAAAATGGACTAGTACTTAGTCGGATTATCCCCGACGCTAACATCTCCCCCACCAGGCGCTCTATCTCGGCCTTCTGGATATGGGGATATCGATAAGGCCGGATGTTAGGGGGAGATACCCCTTCTCGTAACACGATGTGATGGTCACGAGCACGGCGCGGAGGAAGTCCCTCAGGTAGTTCAAAAACGGACTTGAATTGTCCCAGAAGTGTGGCCTGCTCTTGTGGTGTCGCCACGGTCGAGAGTCCCCGTTCCCCGGGGCCGGCCACCCCAATTTCGAGTAACACTCCAGCATGCTCGCACAATAACGAACGAAAGATTGAATGCACACTCACCTTAGAGCAGCTTAACGCGGGGTCCCCCTGTAGGCAAACCCATTGACTTCCTGCCAAAAATTTCAGAGTGAAACGGGTCCAGTTAGCTCGTACCTCCCCTAAAGTCCTGAGCCACGTGACTCCGAGCACCGCGTCCACGTTTCCCAATTCAAAGGGGAAAAAGTTCTCGATCACTCGGTGCCCCTGGATCATCACCTGCACCGAACGGCAGACCCCTTCCTGCTTGAAAATCATCTCATTCCCTACCTGGATCTTGTGCCGAGCAGTCAAGTCTTGGGGTAATTTCAGTTCGCTCACCAGCGAGGTGGAGATGAAGCTGTGGGAGGCCCCGCTATCAACGAGAATGATGACCTCCCTCCCGTTAATCGAGCCCTTGACTTTCAACGTTTTGCCGAAGAGCATCCGTTGAAGGAGTTGAGTGACAGGGCGGCCATTTCTGCGACCGCCGAGCTTCCTGGATCGGCGTTTCCTTCCTCCGTAATCCCCTCCTCCTTACACTCATCCTCCGAGTCTTCATCGGTCAACATCAACACCTGTAGTAACCGATTCTTGCAACGGTGCCCTTGGCTATACTTCTCGTCGCACCTGAAACAAAGACCGCGAGCCTTGCGCTGCTATACTTCATCGAAGGTTAATCGTCGAAACCCGGAATCTCCTCCGGCAGGAGGCTGGACCTTTGAAGTCGCCGCTGTGAGCCCCTTTTGCTGTCCGTTGGAATCTCGATTTAATTGGGATTGAAGGGAGCTTTCGCGAGCCTCTGAGATGTTAAATTGGGAATAAGGGCTTAACCCGGGTCGACCCGTATACTCGAGTCTGGTGACCCGTCCCACCTTGTTCCTCTTGACCCGGTCCACTGCCTCAAGTCGGTCCTCCACTTGTTGGGCCAGGTCCATTGCCTCCAATAAGTTGACAGGCCGGTGCATCCTCACCTCAGCCCGCACGTCCTCTCGTAACCCATTCAGGAAAACCCCCTTGAAGATAGCTTCGGGCACACCTCTCATGGAAGCAGCCAACGCTTCGAATGTGTCTCGGTATTCCGCCACTCCTCCAGTCTGCCAGAGCGCCATCAGCCGCTCCGTCGGATCTCCTTCCCGGGCGCGGCTGAATCGCTGGATGATGGCCGTCCGGAGTTCTTGCTAGCCCGCAAACGAATCCTGTGCTACCCACTGGAACCACCCCAGAGCTCTTCCTTCCATGCACACGGACGCCGCCAAGATTCGCTCCTCGTCTTCAATGTCGTTCACCGCGAAATAGCGCTCGGCCCTAAACACCCAGCCGTACGGATCTTCGCCATGGAAAACCGGAAGCTCCAATTTTCTCCCTCGAAAATCCCCTCTACCCCTCTGCCGTACCGGAGATACTTGGCGGTGCATTCCTCCTCCTTCCCCCCCTCAGGCCGGTGAGCCTTCCCGAGGGATTGCTCGTCCCCTCTCCGGTTCTCGCCTAGGGGGTGTCCGATCCAGGTTCCTAACCGGTTCCCTTTCTGGTTGCCGTCTATCAAACAGCCGAGCCTGTCTCTGCAACAACTCCTCGATTCTAAGCATCGATCCTTGCACCTCTCCAACTCTGGTGTCCAGCCGAGTGACATCCTCTTGCAGCTGGGGAACTCGGTCAGCTATGGCTCCCACTATCTGAAGAGTGTCATGAACGTCTTCTATCCTCTGCTCCACCAAGGCAACTCGGTCTGCAACGCGCGGGTTGTGGTGGACGGCGGCCATGGAATCGGTGGCTCTGATACCAATGATAGAAACCCAGGAATTCTGGGTGGTTTTCTTAGCTGTTATTAATCAAACTGACAAAACGTGAATACGGAAATTACAGATAGAAGGAATTCGAGGTTCCTCTGCCTCCAACATTCAGACTCAATTCTCAATACAATACCCTCCCTTCCCACTACAAGCTCTCTTTTATAGACTCCTCACTCACGGTATTCCCCATGCAAACCAATTCCTAACGGCATGCCTAATCTCAGCGTGAAACTCGATAATAACTGCCAAGTTAGCCAATACCTCTTCCTACTACGCCTCCTTGTGAGAATCAACTATTGCCTCCTTGCTCCTCCTAGAGTATACGAATTTAATGGGAGGGGCTCGAGCTCTAACACTTCTCGTCTTCAATCTTTTCATAACGGTGATTGCATTCCTATGAAGAGTGTCATCTATGTATTTGAAGGCTTCTAACTTTCTTTTTTTTTTTTTTTTGTGGAATATTATGTTGCTAAATTTGGACATTCGTTGAGCAGTGAAACAAACATGAAAAATGATAAAAGAAACTTAGTAAATATTTGTTGTTGTGCCTGTGTTAACGTGGCAGAGATATGTACACGACATATATAAACAAACATAACAGATGCTCGTGGATATCCACACGCATATCCTGTTTTGGAAGTTTTTGTATCTTCTATATGTCGTAGAAGATTTTCATTTGCTCGAGTGTGGTGCTGTTGTTGTTGCTATTCAATTGTAGAGCAAGTGTTTTCTTTTATGACAATTGTGGTATGTTAATATCACCTTTATGTTACTTGTAGGAGCTTCCTTATATGATTGCCTCCTAGTTGGGGCCACTTGTTTCATACTTTTGTGAAAGTTAAGTAAATATTAAACTGGTTATTAAAGCAAAAGATCTTGATAGCAAATTTGTTTGAATTGATTTCTCTAAGTGGCAAAGCTGCAAAAAACAATCATAATGCGGCGTTCTGTTGTGTTACATATCAAATAAGAAAATTGAAGGTCTGATTGTAGCATGTTCATGTTTGGCTATTGCCATAAGTGTGAAACCCAAAAATTCTTGGTTGTCGATTTTAGTTGATTCTTAAACAGTTATGTACTTTTATTGATTGGACTTTTAGTTTTGTGCAGGAATATCTTCAAGGTAACCCACTGTGGCTACAATACGTCAAATTTCCCTTGGTGACTTTGGGATATGAAGGTAGTTATGATGTGTTTGTCAAAGCCCATGGCGGTGGCCTCTCGGGTCAGGCTCAGGCAATCTCTCTGGGCATTGCCCGTGCGTTACTAAAGGTGAGCGAGAACCACAGAGTGCCTCTCAGAAAGGAAGGTCTCTTGACAAGAGACTCGAGAGTTGTCGAAAGGAAGAAGCCTGGTCTCAAGAAAGCTCGCAAAGCCCCACAATTCTCAAAACGTTAGGATACATTCCCCATTCTCATGGTCCCCGCACCAAAGGAAACCGAAAAGGACCCCCAAATTGTATTACTTAAATGCGTCTTTCTTTTTGTAGATCCCTTGTAGTTGCGCGCATCCGGTATGAATGTGTTGTAATTTTTGTACTTGACATGTTGAAATTGGCATGATTATTCTTTACATGTGCTTTAAGGTATTGGTATCCTGTTGTTTGGAAAATGTTAAAAAAGTACCTCTTGCTTTTTCAAAATCTCATTATAGTACCCTTATTAATAACCCTCAATTTAATTGAAAATGAAACAAAAACATCAACAAAACTAGATCATATTAATTTTTTTTTTTAACCTCTTTGGCTAAATTCTAAAACGATCCCTGTATTATCAAAGCATTCCAACACCAATCGATCGTACATTCGTACTTTTTATTTTCATCTTCACAAATCAGCAAGTGTTCAAGTATTGTTGAACTTCTTTGGATTTTTAATTCTCTCTCCAATTTCTTTTCGTTGTGAATTTCTTACCACTAAAGGGAAAGTTGTAAATTACAGATAGAGGTCAAAAGAAAATCTAATCGTACTATGGACCTGTAAATATCTATTTTTATTGTCAGGCTTTAATTGGGATTTGAAAAGTTTCCTAAATCTACCAGGGGTCTATTTTTTATCAATATTGGTAAAATATATATGTATATATATATATGTATATAATTTAAAGCTTTATGAGAGTAAACCCAGTAAATCTTTTATTTACCAAATTTAATCTTGGAATAAATCAAGCAAACCCCCCTAGAATAAATTCAGAAAATTCGGGAAAGTCCCTAATTTGACCCATTTCATGAAATAAATCTAATAAATCATACCTTTCAAAAAACAAAAAAAAAACAAAAAACTAATAAAGCATAGATTTACTACAATTTAGTAACTTCGTTAAAAAGTTTTCCTTTTATTTTTATTCCATCCATAGAAGTATTATTTATCTCTCTCTCCTTCTCATAAATAGAATAGGAATCAAATTGCCGCGGTACCATTTAAATAGCTTATTAGGTTAGGAGACGAATGTTGCCAATTATAAATAGACGTATTCTCCACATCGTGAGTAATAACGGCGCGATCTCTTTTCGCTCGAGACTGGTCATTGATTATATTTTCACCGCTATTTCGGTGTTTTCTGTTACGTACGAGTGAGAAAGAGAGTGTTTATTAGGCAACCAGTAAGGATTTCCTTTTTTTTTTTTTTTTGTTTAATAGAACCAGAAAGGAACTAAACGTGATCACCAGTCATCAATCACCCGGCTTTTCATTATTATTATTTTTATCATCCCTATTTCAGAGTCGTGTAAATTTGTAAGCTTTGATTATTTGAAAAAAAAAATCTCTCTGAATGTTCTCGCTTTTTAATTATTGCTTCGTCTTAAAGATTTCTCTCTCTGTTTCTTTTTTCTATACTATTCTCTCAGTCGTTGGTCGGACGCACAATGGAGGACTATGTCTCTGTGGACAGTGACGATGACTATGATTACCTCTATTACGATGACGGTACTGAAGATGGCGGCGATTCTGACAGACTTGAATTTGCTGAAACAAAGGCCGACGCTGACTCTCAGTCAGTCAACGTCAAGGTACGTACTGTACGACGAGTTTTGATTCTGACGGAAAGTGATCGCCTTATTCTGTGTTAACGTTTTCGTTTGGTACTTCACGTTCTGTTTGATTGCTCGGAAAATCTTCTATGGACTCTATTTGCTTTACGTATTTTAAAAAATAAAAAATAAAATTAAAACGAAATAACTTTGTTTAGTAAATATTTTAAAAATAAAAATAAAAACAGTGAGAATGATTATTGTGAATAAATTAAAAAACAGTTAAAATTTATTTTTATTTTTTTATTTTATTTTTTAGTATTTATTAATAATATTATATATATTAATTAATAAACACGATTTTAGTTGTATTTAAAGTTGTTTTTGTTTTTACTTTTCACGTTTTTTGAGGAAAAAAAAGCAGGAGAAAAATAGAGTTTGACACAATTAAAGATAAAAAACATAAATGAAAATGATTTTTTTATCTCTTGATAAAACTATTAAACGTATTTTTAAAAATGATTTATGTCTGAGATTAAAAATATTTTCATTTCCATTTTCATACAAAAAATAAAATCATTTTAGAATGAGTTCTAAACGCACCCTTTACTCTTTTATTCTACCCAAAACAATCTCTTAAAAAACTAACTAAATGCAATTTCAAAATCCGTCTCAAAATGATTCTCAAAACAATCACATTTTTACTTTTTATTAAAAACAAAATCATTTTAAAACTAATTTCAAGCGCCCCATATATTTCCATGAAAACTCAGACTGCTTTGCTTGTAATTTTGCATGATTTGGGGAGTAATTGATATAAATATTGCTTTCCTTGGCTTGCAATTCAAGTAATCCTGTGTATGTTTTCTTTTCCTGAAAAAAAAAAAGAAGATTCTGATATTCACGGTGTTGAATTAGTATCTTGAATGCAAAATCTTTTTTTTTTCTTGGCAAATCAAAAATCATTGTAAGTGCTGCTAAACATATACTCCCATCATTATCATTTAATAAATTTTATGATTGAACTTTTATTTTGGTACATAATGTGCTCCTTCCTTTTGATTTGCAGGTAATCACAAGAGAGTCACTCTTGGCTGCTCAGGTAATCACAGAAAAAAGGGTTCATAATCTCCTTTTTATTATTGTACTTTGTTATGCCCAAACTAGATTTTATGCCAAACTTGTCAATTTAACCTATATATGCAGAGGGAGGATTTGCGAAAGGTGATGGATGTACTTTCATTGAAAGAGCACCACGCACGATCTTTACTCATTCATTATCGTTGGGATGTGAACCAGTTGCTCAGTGGTCTTGTAGAGAAAGGGAAAGATAAATTATATGCTGAAGTAGGTGTGACCATATTGGAGCATCGAGATCTTGTCTCATCCAACTTTTCATCCTCCAAAGCAAAAAAATCCACGGTACTATGCGAGATTTGCTTCGAAAAAGTTCCCACCAATGTTGCGACAACTATGGACTGTGGTCATGTTTTCTGTAACACTTGTGAGTACTATCGCCTCTACTTTTCCCCACTCACAGACGAAGAGCAATCTTCTAATGTTTACTATCTCTTTTTCATAAATCTGAAACGAACAATATTATATGGAGGTTTATAATTCTGCGATGTTTAGGTTTGTAGAGAAACCAGTCTTTCTATTTTTCATAGCTTCGGCAAAAACCAAGAAAATGTTTGTAGGTTTTTTTTTTTTTTTTTCCTATCAAATTCCGGCAAGGTAATCCAATTGGAAAAACCTTACTGAGCGTGAGGATGTTACGTCGACTTAATCAGTGGTTGAATATGTGTTATGTCGGTTTAGCCAGCAGTTGAAGATTTCGATGGTCTAGCCCGAAATGGGATTGAGAAGTTTCTAAAAAGGAGAGCTTGGCTCCCGCATGTAAAGTCTTATTGTATATCATCTCTGTCGAGCTAATAATATGTGTTATATAGGCTGTGTTTTTAAGTTCCTTTTTCTTATGCTGTTTTTGCTATGGAGTAATATATATGTATATGTACTTTTTCTATCGTCTATCAGGTTGGACAAAGCACTTCATAGTAAAGATAAAAGGAGGCCAAAGCAGGCGCATTAGATGTATGGCACACAAATGCAACAGTATTTGTGATGAAGAAAAAATCAGAATGCTAGTCAGTACTAGAGATCCTATTCTAGCAGAGAAATTTGATCGCTTTCTTCTAGAATCATATATTGAAGATAATAAAAAGGTTAAGTGGTGTCCAAGTACTCCCCATTGTGGTAATGCTTTACGCATTGATGACTGTAACTTATGCGAGGTTGAATGTGCATGCGGTTTAAAGTTCTGTTTTAAATGCTCATCGGAAGCACATTCTCCTTGTTCGTGTCAAATGTGGGAACTGTGGAGTCAGAAGTGTCGGGATGAATCAGAGACAGTTAACTGGATTACAGTTAATACAAAGCCCTGCCCAAAATGCCTCAAGCCAGTTGAAAAGAATGGAGGATGCAACCATGTACACTGCATTTGTGGACAACATTTTTGGTGAGAACTATTAAAATTCTCGTTTTTTCACGTTTAGCAAATTGATCTAACGTGGTCCTTCTGTTTTTGGTTACTGTAAGGGATAAGAACGCATGAGCATTACATACAAATGTTGTAATAGAATGCCTCATAGAAACAAAGTTTCGTTTATCTCTTACAGCTTGATTCATTTAATTATAAAGCCTCGATTTGATTCGTTTATGACTGTTAAACCCGCACTAGCTGATGAGTTTTTGCATGTTCTTTTGGCTGAATGCTTGATACCTATTTTGTTCGTTTCCTTTCCCTGGACACCAATGAAGGGTATACATGTATATCTGTCTCCCTATGTCCATCTTAATTCTTTTTCCTATTTTGCAGTTGGCATTGTGGCCGCCCTGATAAATTCCATGGTGGTTATCATAGTTGTGGACGTTATACAGAAGATGAGCAGAAAACTCGGAATGCAAAGAGGGATCTACAACGTTACATGCATTACTACGATCGTTATAAAGCCCATAAACATTCTTCTGAGCTTGAAAGTAAGCTGCAGAAAACCATGAAAAAAAAGATGTCAGAACTGGAAGCAAGAGAAATAACAAGTAAAGACTATAGTTGGGCAACCGAGGGTCTCAACAGACTCTTCAGGTCAAGGCAAATTCTCTCGTATTCGTACCCTTTTGCGTATTACATGTTTGGTGATATATTCGGGAGTGAAATGACAAAACAGGAAAAAGTAATAAAGCAACACTTGTTTGAGGATCAGCAGCAACAGCTTGAGGCACATGTTGAAAGGCTTTCTTCATTTCTAGAGGCACCTTTCAATGAATACCCGGATAACGAGGTTATAACTTTGAGGATGGAGATCATCAATTTCTCCACAGTTGTTGATAAGCTGTGCAGAAAATTGTAAGTTTTGCATTAGATGCCTTAAATTCTCTGTTTTTCCTTGTGCAGGAAAATTCGTTGATAAATATAACCCAAGAGATAAGTTCATTAAATGAATTGATTTTTCTGAGAAAAATGTTATAAGAATACGAAACTTTTTAGTAGGCTTGAGAATTTCGCAAATGATATTTGTCTTTTGCTAGAAGATGAAAGGAAACGGCTCGTTTAAGAGTTTGTAAAGTGCAAGTAGAAGTTTGCTTTTGTTTGTAAAGTGAAAATGGAAGTTTGCTTTTGTTCATTCTCTTTTCCATACCATATCCTAATATCTACAGTTTTTCTTTTTTTAAGGGTCCAAAACCATGTAACTTAATTTTCTATATGGACTCTTATTTGGTAACATGTGTATATATGTACTCTTTGCAGGTATGAATGCATTGAGAATGATTTGCTGGGGTGCCTCACTCGGACAAGTCAAAGTATTGCTCCTTACATGTCAAATGGGATGGACAAAGCTTCAGAAGTAACGGACTGCAAGGGACTCTAACCCTTCTAGATTCTAATATTGAAATAAATTATGGCAAAGATCGTATGTGCTAATTTATACCATGTAGATTGTTACTTAATTCGTGCTCTTATCTACCGCTATTTAAGTCAAATAAGAGAGCTATACACGAGATATTGCGTAAAATCTGGCAAAGAAATCTGTTTTAACTTAATTTTCTTTCACAAAGCAATAGCTGTTTCTTTCTTCTAAATTAATAACAACTACTTTTCTTTCAATGTCAATACTACATATTTTTTATGTTGAACGAAAAAATGCGACGTAATACAATAACAAAGTGAATATATCAATTAAAACTATATTTGAAGAGTGATTTTTCTACTCCAACATTAATGTTTCGTATTGACATAGTTTAACACTATATTTGAGATACTATTACGATATGAAAAATAAATAAACTATATATGTAGGGCACTTGACAGGAATATCACAGGTTTTAGATTCATATTGAAATATGTCACGGGACATAAATTATTGTAAAGAATGTCATAGCTAAAAATACTTAAAAATCGTAAAATTTATAAAAATCACAAATATATACATAAAAAATCTCACAAAATCTAAAATATTGAATCAAATACACAAAAGTAAAAGCATAATTTTGATCAAAACACAAAAATTAAATAATGTTACTGTAGTATACTTTGTAATAGTTTTAGTACTCATGATAAAAGTCAATCAAACTTGCATATTGCCTAAATATCTCATATATGTATCTTTGGTGATAACGATAATCCCACCAAATTGAAAATCATTCCGTTTGGATTGTTTTTCGAATAGAATAATCGAATTGGTATTTACTAAATGTAAAAGAGAAAAGTTCAAAACTACTTTTGGCAATATTGATTTCTCATTGAATAAAATTCAACCAAACAGAATAATTCTTTTGCTGCTCAACCAAACAAAATAATTCTTTTGCTGATCAACCAAACAAAATAATTGAGTCGTCTTTTCATTTTCTTGCACCCAACATACAAGCTAAAGGGCGCTTTGATGACTAAGCCTTAGCGACTCCATAAAGAACATAAAGGCCATACGCTTTTGCAATGGGAAATTAATGTCGTTTCCTTACCTAATGGACAACAAAATTTAAAATCAACGAGCTTGCGTTTTAAATTTATACTACTTTTGAGAACTTGTTTAGCACTCTTCATTATTTACAGGATGATGATAAATTCATTTGTACAACTATTTAAGTATTTTTATAATTTATTTTAAAAATAAGTTTTTTTATAAAGAAAATTCAGTTGAAACAATACTCGTTTTCAATTCTAATCACTTAATAGTATAAAAGATTCATGTAGTTGTAAAGAATAATATTAAGGACACCAACTCAAATTTTAACTCTTGTGTACCAACTGACGTGACATATGAATTGTCAGTTTTATATTAGTGCGTGTTTAAAATATTGTTACATCAATTAATAATAAGAGGTTGCATATACCAATAAAAAAATGACAACTCACATGTCATATCGATTGGTACACAAAAGTTGAGATTTAAGTTCGTGTCCCTTATATTATTCAACTGTAAATTAAAAGAAGGAGATATAGTATAAAAAATACGTATAAAAATAATTTTTGAAATAATAGGATTTACATGAAATATAATTAAATAGGAACACAAGGAAATTATTTTAAAACATTATTAAAAAAATTAAATAGAGAGACGTGCGAAAGAAATTATTTTTATAGAAGAAAGTGAGAAAAACTTATATTTTTACAAAGCACACGTAAAAAATTAAAATGTAAAAAACAGTAACAAAAAGAAGAAAGAGAAAAACATTTAAAAAATAAAAAAACAAAGATAAAAGAAAGTAAGGAATGAAGGGGAAAAAAAGAAAAGAAAAAATAGGATAGGAAGAAGGATTACCACGTGATAGCCCCAAATAAAAATAAGTTTGGCTCTTTCAGGACAAGAATAAAAAAAGATTAAAAAAAAGGGACTAAAATAAAGGAATAAATAGGTTTTTAGGGCAAAAGAACCATAACAGAAAAAATAAAATTTCAGGGCGAAAATAAAAAGAAAATGGTCCAAAAAGTGCCAAAATGAAGAATAAAAAATTTTAAAGGTAAAAAGAACGAAAATGAATGATAAAAATAAAATTTCAGGACAAAAGTAAAAAAATATCAAAAGAAGGACTAAAATGAAAAAAACAAATAAACTTTAGAGTAAAAAACAAAAACAAAAAACTAAAAGAAGGATTTGATAAAAAAAAAAAAAAAAAAAGGGGGAGGGGGGAAAACGGGGTAGTGGGGCAGCCATTTCAACCAAAAACGTTGTCGTTTTGGTTGAAATGGCAGTGAATTTTGACACTTTTATTATATAGATAGACTAGTTGAAACAATGGACTTCGCTCCTTGAAATGTAGTCATCCTTATTGCCTCACATTAATCCTGCAGCCTCTTATCCATTCTCATTCGCATGTGTAACGCGTGAATATTCAATATGTTATATTTTTTAAATATGTAGATTTAAAATTTAGTTTCACACGTTCCGTCTCTCTCGTTAAGAAACCCATTATATTTAAATAGAATGGAATAGTTTAGTAGATCATGTTTAGTACAAATCAAATAGAAAATTAATTAAGGTGCACAAATTAAAAGGAAAAATATATCTAAGTAAGGGTACATTGAAAAAAGAAAATATTATTTTAATGGAATACATCTTAAGATATAATATTAAAAAGAGAAAAATTAAGGAAAAGGCAGTATACAAAAGGGAAAACTAAAATAAAAATTTTTATAAAAAAAGCAAAAAAAAAGGACTAAAAAGTCTAGTCACATTAAAACTAGAGACAAAGATGAGTGTTATGGCATTTTATCTATATATATGTATTAAGAATTTTATAAATGTTCCAATCAAAATATTTGTTTGGTTGAATATCTATGTATAGACAATTAAAACTTGTATAAAAGAAAAATATTTTAGCGGTAACTCAAACGACAAAGTTAATAACCCGGGATACATGAAAAAAAAAAAAAAAAAAAAAAAAAAAAAAAAAACCCCCAAAAAAAAAATAAAAAAATTTGTTTAAATAGCCTAATAGGGATATATTCAAGAAAACATAGTGAGTAACATATTAGGGGAACAAAAAGATATTTTGAGAAAACAATAATTGAAGGGTTAAGTGAAAAGACTATTTAAAAGAGACATTTGAAAAACAATTGTTTTAGTGAGTCGGTTAAAAAATTATTTACAAGAATTACTTTTGATATAATAAGTATTACACGAAAAAATTAAGTAGGAACACATTCATATTAATTTATTTTATAGGAACAATAGACGGAAAAAACTGTTTCAAAAAAGTACATCAAAAGAGAATTAAAAAGTACATGAGTCTTAGACAAGGAAAAAAAATGATGTAAAGATACATTTGAAAGAAATTAATTTAATAGAAACAAAGTGATTAAAGAAATATTTCAGAAAGACACATGATAAAAATAAACTGTATATGAGCTTTAAGCAAAAGGGGAAAAAAAAAAAAAAAAAAAAAAAAACCCAAATAGAAAACAAAGAAGTAAAAAGCAAAAACAAAAAAAAAAAAATGAAGGAGAAAAGAGGGGTTGACATGTCGCCAAACACTGGTTAAAGAGACATACTTGAGAAACAATTGTTTGAGCGAGCTAATTAAAAAAACATTATAAGAATCACCTTTGATATAATAAGAATTACACGAAAAAAAAAATTAAGTAGGGACAAATTCAGACTAATATATTTAATAGAATCAAGAGAAGAAAAAATTTATTTCAAAAAACACATTAAAAGAGAATTAAAATGTACATGGGTTTTTGACAAGGAACAAAATAGTAAAAAAAAAAGTACGGATACATTTGAAAAAATTTATTTAATAGAAGCAAAGTGGTGAAAAGTAATTTAAAAAGCCAATAATAAAAATAAACTGTATAAAATATTTAAGCAAAAAGGAAAAAATATTTGAGAAGGACACATAATAAAAATAAAATATATAAGAGCTTTAAGTAAGGGAAAAAAAAAAGAAGAAGAAAAACCCACATATGAAGCAAAAAACTAAAAAGCCAAAAACAAAAACCCAAAAAAAAAAAAGGAAAGAAAAAAGTGGGGTTGACATGTGGTCAAAGGAGAGCTAACCTTCTTCTTTTTTTTTTCAAATAGAGACCTAACCTTCTTTGACTCTTTTATGTATGTTAAAGATAAATTAAAAACCATTCATAAATAGAATTGGAGTCATTTTTATATTAGTAATTGTTGTGAGATTGTGTAAAGAGTAATGTAAAATACACAAAAATAAATATTAATACTTATAATAATTACTAGTTTTGTAACATGCTCTGCATGTATTGTCATGTTGGAGACAATCGAAGAGTGTATTGTTTACCGAATAATGAGAAATTCCTTTATACAACCATTTAAAGATTTTAAATTTATGTTAAAAAGAAATGTGTCACATTGGAATAAAATTATTTTGCTAATAAAAAATAAAATAAGAACACATGTAAAAAAAATACTCTCTTAGGAATAAAGTGAGGAAAAATATTTTTTTTTAAAACACACAAAGAAATTAAAATATAAAAGAATTCACAAACAAACAAAGATAAAAAAGGAAAAAAAAAAGTAAGTGGAAGGGTTACCACGTGACAGCCTCATAGAAAAGAGCTTTTACTCTTTTATCTATTGTTAGAAAAAGAAATATGTCAAAAATAAGAATTGACAAAAAAATTAACTATGGACATATTTGAAGAAAATTATTTTACTAATTAAAAATAAAATAGGAACACATGCAAAAAATTATTCTCATAGAGTAAAGTAAGAAAAAATACATTTTTAAAAAACAAAAGAAATTCAAAAAAATAAAGATAAAAAAGCTTTAAAAAAAACAGTAGAAAAGAGTTTTGACTCTTTTATATTATTAGATTCATGATATAGAAGCGTTATAAAAAAAATTTATTTGTTATCTATAAAATATACTTTTGATTAGTGCTTCTTGGAGGAAGAATTTTACTTATATAAAAAAAAAAAAAAAAGCAAAAACTGCATGTGCAAGACAAGTGCATTTATGTTCATTTAATTTTTTAAATTTATTTTAATTAAAGTGTAATTAAATATAATAGATTAATTAAACAATAAATGCCTAATAGAAAGTGATAAAGATTATATCTACATGGCTTATAGAGTTTCAAAAATAAATTTTCATAAGTTAATGAGGTATGGGGTGGATTTTCTATCACGATTTTAAAGTACTCGCAGTGTTCTATTTACCTGATTAGTTAATTTCACCATAAAATAAATAATTAATCAACACAACTATATAATACATGAAGTTAAAATTAATAAAAGAAAAATATTGTAAATTTTCATATATACTATGTAATATATTATACTTATAATTATATATTATAACATATTATACACAATATATATAGCTTTATAATATGATATAATTAAACGGTGTGGCTAAACAAGGAATAGAGTCAAGGACCTTTCAGCCCGTTCTTGCTTCGTGACCCATGACAGGTTAAAGTTTTAATATGTGTATAACCCGTACTTTTAAACCGGATTCTTTCTCTCCCGTTTGAGTCAAGTTCCTACGAATAAATGAGTTAACGGGTAAAATTATTATCCCTAAGCTATATATGTTGGCCACGAGTGGATATAAAGACGATTAAAAGGGACAAACATAACCGAATAAAAACTTAAAAAGAAAAAAAGGCAAAAAGAAAAAAAGTTTCACCGTTTTGAGATTTAGTAGTATACTAGTCAAAAACAAGAGTTTCGCGTGCTTGACTCATATAAAACAACGGTTATACAAATTGTCGAGGGAAAAAAAGAGGAAGAAAAAAGAAATGATAAAAGAAATAAAGATAAAAGTAAGAGAAAAGACCTAAAACAAAAGACCTAAAAACAAAAGACCAAAAAGAAAAGACAAAAAAATTAAGAAAATACTTATGAGAAATGTTTTACAACTGAAGTGAAATTTATAAGGATTATAAATAAAAGATGTTTATATAAAGACACATTTAAGAATAAATTAATTTAATAGGATAATTAAAAAGAATAATATTTTAAATAATTGTAAAAGTATTTAAATGAGACATGTGTACAAAATATATAAAAATTAAAGGTTAAAAGATGAAATAAAAAAAGATAAGGGAGGAAAAAGAAAAAAAAAAAACTTAAAAAGAAAACCTATTTGGACTTGAGAGATGGGAATAGATAAAAAAAATGACAAAAAAAATTAGAGATTATGTGGTAATCCGTATTAATGTAGTTTCAATTTTTATTGTCAATGTAAAAATCACGTCAATTTAAAAAAATATATTAAAAAATAAATTTTAATACAAATTTAACATCGAAAAAATAAAGACCGATAGTCTAGATTATCGGTGAAAGTCAATTTTTTTTTTTCCATCCATTGAAATGCTGGAAAATACGACCTTAAACTTATCACAGGCTCACAGCTCAGTGACTGGAATTTAACCGTAAAGCATAGGAGGAGGAGGATTAAAATTTTGTAAATCACCCTCGTCTCGGAAATCTCCCATTTTCCGAAATTTAATCTTAATCCCTTTCTCCTAAACTTGAATCATCCTTTTCCATGTTCCACAATAACAGCGTCTCGATCTCCATCTCCGACGACGACTCGGACGAACTCGGTGGTCGCGCCCGGCCCCGAGTCCGCAAGAAGCGCAAGAAGCCTGGTCACCGCAACAATGGCAGCGAGTTGGTTCGCTGGATCGTCAGGAAACTCGTGAGGTACTGGATGCTGATGATCTTTCTCCCAGCCGCTTGCTTGCTTCTCTTCGAGGCCTCCATCGGAAGAAAATCCACTCCGCTGGAGAAACCAGAACTCGGTAAAACGCCGACCGTGACTCATTCTGAACTCAGTTCGACTAAGAATCCGAGTTTGGAGAAGAAACCGGAAGGCAATTTGAATCGGCTTGATCCCACAACTCGTGTTGTTGGCGGCGTCAGAGAACGTAAGTGCACAAATTCGATTTTCCTTGCTAATTTCTTTCCATTTTTGAAAAATTTTCCAATTTTTGTTTTTAGGTTTTGAAAATTTGAATTCTCAGGTTGTTTGAAAATTCTACCACTCGAGGAACTTGAGAATTTGGATGTACCTTCGAGCAAAGAATCTAATAGTCCTGTTAATAAAGTGATTTACATATCGGAGAATGATACGGAATTTCTTGGAGGGAATAATGATGTTCTATCTAGACAAGATACTCAAGCCACAAGATTCAATTTGTTCACCGGAAACCAGACTCTATATTGGAGAGAGACTAGTTTCAAGGTTATAAGCTGCGTTGCTCATGTGCTCAGGTTTTGGTTAATTTATTGTATGATCATTATGATGTTAATGCTTAAGAAGGAATTACAAGGACTTTTGTGGATTTTGCAGTATAATATCTACTTTTCTAGTATAAAGCATGGTTTTTGTTTTTACATCTTCAGGTAAATGACACAACTGCAGTACACTGCGGTTTCTACAGTGAAAATGGAGGGTTTAAGATTTATAATGAAGATAGAGATTACATGTTAAGTTGTAAAGTTGTGGTCTCTACTTGTGTATTTGGTGGCGGAGATGATCTTTATCAACCTATTGGAATGTCACAAGCATCGCTTAGGAAGGTATAATTTCTAGTTTCCGGTGCCGTTGCAATGTTAGCTATAGAAGTGAGCAATTCTTAAGTTTGTCAAGTTGTTGTTGATTGCTGCAGGTATGCTATGTTGCATTTTGGGATGAAATCACTCTAGCTACACAGGAACTGGCTGGACATAGAATTGGGGAGGACGGATTTATTGGGAAATGGCGCATTATTGTCGTTAGAAATCTTCCTTTCTCAGATCAAAGGCTAAATGGAAAAATTCCAAAGGTAACAATTCCTAAACTGAAAAGTAGGAGACACTAACCAATAATAATGAGTAGTGTGACGTGATGTAAAAAGAATCTGTATTCTCAGTTAATGTGATTGTATTGTTTGCCATGTAACAACTACTCTGTCTTTCATTTAGTTGCCGAAAATCAAAATTGGAATTGTGTTTGATATGTTATTTTATTTTTACTGGCATCAGATGTTGGGACATCGTCTTTTTCCTCATGCAAGATATTCCATTTGGGTAGATTCAAAGTCCCAATTTAGGAGGGATCCTTTGGGTGTTTTGGAAGCCCTTCTTTGGCGTACAAATTCTGTACTCGCAATTTCAGAACATGGAGCTCGCAGTAGTGTATATGATGAGGCAAAGGCTGTTGTCAAGAAAAACAAGGCTGGACCAGAAGAAGTGGAGGTGCAATTGACTCGGTACCGCCATGATGGACTCCCGGAGGACAAAAGGTTTAATGGGAAGAAAGGTATTTCAATTTGCTATTCCCGGGTTCTGACTTGTTTGTGCTAATAAATACATTTACAGAACTGGAAAGAAAGGTAAACTAGAGTGATCTAGCATTCTTATGTTTTTTTTTGGGGATTATATTCTGTCTGAATTAGCAATATTCTAGACCAACTTCATTTTCTGCAGAAACATTCATTTCCCATAGTTTTTTCTTATACTCTCAGAGAGAAAGGCTAGTGATTATTATTGATTTATCCAAGAGTCAAGTTCAGTTCTTGCTTCTGATGGTTTTGCCTATATGCATAAATTTTGCTTGCCCCTTTTCAATCACCCTATTAGTGTCCATCTTTTCTGAAATTTACCTTCTCTGCATATATATACAATGTGCAAGGCTTAGCAGCTAAACAACAAGAATGTTCATGTGCTCAATAATAATCACGTTGTTGGCCTGTGCAGCTCTTTCGGAAGCTTCAGTCATAGTAAGGGAACATACGTCTTTGACTAATCTGTATATGTGCCTATGGTTCAACGAGGTGGTTCGTTTCACTTCTCGTGATCAGCTGAGTTTCCCATATGTCTTATGGCGGCTGAAAGTTCTCAAGAACATAAATATGTTCCCTGTGTGTACCCGCAAGGATCTTGTCAATAGCATGGGCCATCTGCGCAAGGCCAAGCCCTTGATAAGTTGAATTTAGTGTTTTTAGTAGTGAGCTTCCACTTCTTTGTATCGAATGGAGGAACCGGACCTAGAGGCAGTTAGTGGGTATTTGTTCGTTTCAATCTCAGTTAGATGCTTACTTGGTTGCTTCCAACTGGACTTGCTCAATGTTGATTATGCACCCACCCTTTCTTTTCCTTTTTTTGGTTGGATGGATGGGGGATTTAAATAGCTAAGCCTTTTGTACTTGCCCAATGAGTTTATGAGTTTGAAGATTCATAATTTTTTGCAGTTAGAAAAAGCGTGTTGGAATATTTAATCTCGTGAATTATACTGTCATAAGCGTGTTAAAAACCTTTATATTTTATATGAGAATTACATACTGTTATAAGCAAACTTTGATGGCTTGATTCAAAATTATCAACAAATTTGTATTTGTAAACAAAAGAGTTTTTCCATAGGAAGAACGATTCGGGGGCTGAGAATATCTTCCCACTGCTTCTTGTCTTTTTAAATTAATAGGAAACAATTCTGGTTATTGATGGGCTCGTAGTTTTAGAACGTTTGGCAAGGAAGTCGTCTAGAGGAAAGTGGTTGAATCAAATTCCATGTCCAACTGCAATTAATTTGATGGCGTAGTGGAGTTAGTACGAGAAAGAAGGAATGGAAAGCCACACCTCCCATCCTTTAATGACATCTTCAGCTTAAAACAATTTGATTAAAAATGTGGATTTTTTTCCCCAATTAGAACGGCCATATTAGTACAAAAATAGTTCTATTTGGGTTAGTTAAGGAGCCGCAAAAGGTGGTTTAGGTGGCCAAAAGATGTTAAAAGTCCAAAATGTCCATTAGATGGTTTCTTAAAGAATTTAACGCGCCAAAGACTTGATCATAACAATACTCATTCGACACATGATGTGGGCTAGGATCATTTTCTGCTCTTCGGTCTTGTTAGCTTTATTGGTAGTTGTTCTCTTGGCTTTGTTTTCACCAACACCCGGCCATAACATATTGACAAAGAATGACCACACAAAGCCGCCTTGGATAGCCTTGTCCTTGTATATCCAGCAGCCAGTACATATAGGCAGCAGCTACGCCACGCAGCCTGTGGTGGCGCAATCGGAGGATGCTGGCGCTCTCGTCTTCCACTGGACACTGACCGAGGGCCCCGAGAACACCTCGCGGGTAGTCGGAAAAGCGCAGGGCTTCATAATCCCGGTGGAGCACTTTGCTCACTCGGATTTCAACATTTTGTATCTTAGTTTTGACACGCCTAAGTATTCTGGTAGTCTTAGTGTTGAGGCTAAACATATTGCTCACAAAGACACCGAGGAACTCACTGTGGTGGGTGGAACTGGCTCTTTTGCTTTTGCACGTGGAGTTGCTGTTGTTGCTCAAACGACAACAATCTCGCATGAACCGTCGGACATTGTTGATGCCACTTATCATGTGAAACTGCAGCTTACATTTCCTAATCAGTCTCGGACGATTCCAGGGTAACCTCCGATTAGTATTTGTTTGATTTTTTTTTTTTTTAAATTGGAAGTAGGGGATTTGAACTCTAAACCTCAATATTAAAGGAAGATTTATCCCACTTTGTTACTTATTTTTAATTGGTATAAATAATATTTTTCTTGTTAGGAGATGTAATTGGAAGCACAGTTTTATTATATGTTTAAGCAGATGCAATTTTTTTTAGTGATGTAATTGCAATTATATCAGTAGAATCTTTTATTAAAATTACTCGTGTTACGGGGGTTTGAACTCAGGACCTCCCGCTCTGATACCATGTTAGTTTACCAATCCATCCCAAAAGCTTAAGCTGTTAGGAGGTAGGCCAACAATAATTTTATACTTTAACACTCCCATACCATGTTAGTTTACCAATCCATCCCAAAAGCTTAAGCTGTTAGGAGGTAGGCCAACAATAATTTTATACTTTAACACTCCCCCTCATGTGTAGCCTGGACAATGGGTAATCGTGTGGGTAAATTAATTGGAAAGCCCAACACGTGAATATTTAAGCCTGAGATATATTAAAGACCCAACACGTGATGACAATTTTAAATAGGGATAAAGAGTGCAATTACGGGGGTTTGAACTCAGGACCTCCCGCTCTGATACCATATTAGTTTACCAATCCATCCCAAAAGCTTAAACTATTAGGAGGTGGGTCAACAATAGTTTTATACTTTAACACTCCCATACCATGTTAGTTTTGGGATGGATTGGTAAACTAACATGGTATCAGAGCGGGAGGTCCTGAGTTCAAACCCCCGTAATTGCACTATTTATCCCCATTTAAAATTATCATGTGTCGGGTCTTTAATATATCTCGGGCTTAAATATTCACGTGTTGGGCTTTTCAATTAATTTACCCACACGATTGCCCATTGTCCAGCCCACACGTGAGGGGGAGTGTTAAAGTATAAAACTATTGTTGGCCCACCTCCAAGCAGCTTAAGTTTTTGGGATGGATTGGTAAACTAACATGGTATCAGAGCGGGAGGTCCTGAGTTCAAACCCCCGTAATTGCACTTTTTATCCCCATTTAAAATTATCATGTGTCGGGTCTTTAATATATCTCGGGCTTAAATATTCACGGGTTGGGGTTTTCAATTAATTTACCCACACGATTGTCCATTGTCCAGCCCACACGTGAGGGGGAGTGTTAAAGTATAAAACTATTGTTGGCCTACCTCCTAACAGCTTAAGCTTTTGGGATGGATTAGTAAACTAACAGACTGTAAAGTATGTTTAGATCGCGTCTAACTAAATGTTATGCCATAGCATTTTAAAAAATTAAAAAATTATATAGTTGCCTTTTACATGTATTAGTGTTTGAACGTGACATAATTATTAGACATAATTTGAAACATCTAAATAGGATTGGAGATCGAAGGGTATACAAGTGGTTTGACCTATTCATTGAGCGAGAAGTCGGAGATTCTGAAATAACGTTGCAGATTGCAAAGGATTCTTTCTAAAAAAATGCAAAGAATGTCGTTTGCTCGATAAACCATGTTCATTATCCCTTGAAACTCTGTTGTTTGTTTGTTAGTTGATAAAAACGACATGCAGATTTCGTTTATAGTAATAGTATTAAAAGAAGACTATCCTCAAGCGATGAGGCGACCAGTCGTTTAAAAATAAAAACTACTCGGAAATATTTCATGCAATTTTGCCATTACTGTAGGAGCTACATGTCGTTTCTCACAATAAACGACGTTTTAATTGTGATAACAAGTTTACTGTCGCATTTTTTTTTAAAGGTTTACTGTTATGTACGTAACAAGCAACATATTGTAATTTGAACGTACTAAAGAAAAAACATATTATTGTATTTTTGAGTCGTTAGAGTTTATTGTCCTTTAGCTCGTATTGAGCGAGATGTACTTTTATCAATATATTCCGGTCTACTAAGAATTTTAATAAATTCATCCCTTTTAGCTCTTGATAATGCAAGAAATAATGTACTTTTATCAATATATTCTGGTATAGTAAGAATTTTAATACATTCAGCTTTTTTAGCTCTTGATAACATATAATTTACAAAACTCGTTTTGTAAGATATATACCAAAGAAATTTTAAAGTTTGTCTTTGAACTTTATCAATATTTGTCATTGCAAAACTTAGTCGTACAAGAAATTGAGTTCATTTAAAAGGAAATGGGTATTTTTTATTTTTATTCAGTATAAATGGTATTCTAGGCAAAAAATACTCTTTTTCTGAAGTAATATCCAGTACAAATTTCACCGTTAATAAGATTTGGTAAAAATCTTCACCATTATCTAGTACAAATTTCACCGTTAATAATATTTGGTAAAAATCTTCACCATTAAAAAAATAAAGGCATAATACAAAATTCAAGAAAGAATCTATCCTCTACATGAAAAAATCTATTAATTTAATAAACTCATTCCAACCAAAAAAGAAAAAGAAAACAAAAATTTAGCAAAACCCGTTATATATACAGATTTGCTCTTCATTTCTTTCCCTCTTTATTGCCTCCAATCAATTAATGTTTTGACAATTAGTGTCTGACTACCATTTTTAGAGGGAAAGACATTCAATAAACTCCAATTATCATGTCTAATTAGTAATTTAATTAAATATTATCTTTAACTTTAATTAAATTCATTACGAGCATTGTTTTGATTATAATCCTTAAATATTATCATCTAGCATATAACACTTATATACAATATATAAGGTTACATAAATAATCATAAAATTTTCAATGATATTCATAAAATATTCAATATATGCACATAAAATAATGAATAAACTCTTTTCTTTAAATAAATAATATATATCATATTACATCTTATGTTTTTAGAACATCATTTTCAACTGTTAGATATAATTAAGAATTATGTAAACAATATAAAGGTGTTTATAGTTTGGAGTTCAAGGACAAATTTATCATTACCTTGACGAACTTATTCCAACAAATAATCATCCAAGTAATTTATAATTATATTTCTATGATACTGAACATCAAATAGAAAATCGAATTTATAATTCTCCTAATTTAATGCTTCAATTGTAAGTAAAATAGTAGATATATTAAAAATTAATTCACATGGTTCTTTTTTCCATTATCTCAAAGATATACCTAACTTACCGAGTTATACAATTTGTATTAAAAGTGATCCTGAATTAGATCAAAAAGTATACAATGCTCCTTTAGCGTCGCAAGTTGCAGCTATCTGATTAGATAATAATATCACAGAATTAATATAAAGGTTATGATATAATTGTTTATTCTCATTCCCTATACACTCATAAAATTGAAAACTATTTTGGATGCTATGATTCTCTACAATACCCTCCACTATATATTTCCATATGGAAATGTTGGTTGGCATCGAAGTGGACAAAAAAAAAGGAGAACAACATTGTCAAAATCAACAATTGATCAATCCTCAAAAGGCAATGTCTGCAGAGAAACGACCTCAAAATGAACTTACAGGTAGTGCTGAACTTTGAATGGGTTATCCGCGACTGTATGAAAAAATTGAATTTGTGCCCGTTACCCGAGCCCGTCTGTCTGAAAAATTTAAGCTGCCCACCCGAGCCCGACCCCCACCTTGAATGGGCTTCGGGCAGGTCTTGGCTGCCCAAAGCCCGGTCGGGCAGCCCAAGCCCACCCGGGCTGCCTGAATATTTAATATATTTTTTTAATACTTTGTTTTATTTTTTATAATATTGTGTATATATATTATATATAATATTATTTATTAATTGTATTTGTATATAGATAATTATTAAGTTATTTATTGTAACAGTTATATAAAAACTATAATTAAGATTAAAATCAACACATACTATTAAAACAAATATTATTAAAAAAAATTTGAGCGGGCCACTCAGGCGGGCTTCGGGCAATGGGTTTTCCACGGCGGCAGGCTTGTTTTTTTGCTTCATTTTCGGCATGCCCGAGCCCAAGCCCGACCTAGAACTTGGACGGGCGGACTTAGGGCCCTACTTGCCGAGCCCGAAAATTTTCAGGCTTCAGGCAAGCCTACCGTCTGTTCTTCTAACACTACTTACAAGTACATTTTTTTCTCCCTACGTGTTTAAATTCAAATAATTTCATTATTCCGAGGCTTTTTTTTTTTGGGTTTCCTTCGAGTATCAAAAACAAAAAAGAAAGATTTTGTTACCAATTACAAATTAGAACAATGGATAAATCTATATTATTACATTCTGGTCGTCTTTCCCAACAATATACTGTATGTTGAACTTGAAACTCAAAGATTAGATTTTTTAAGAAACAATTAAAGTCAAATTCGATATGAATTATACCAAGGTATTATTGACCGTATTCAACTTGGTGAAAATAGAGCTTCTAAAATAGGGAAAATATTTATTTTACTGGCATCTTTTATTTGTGGTTCAAGAGACATGCATAAACGATATATGGATGCTATAACATTAGTTCAACATTTTGGTAAACCTGATATATTTTTAACTGTAACATGTAATCCTAATTGGTATAAAATTAAACAAGAATTAGAAACATAAGAAGAAGCTCAATATAGACCTGATTTGGTTACTCAGATATTTAAGCAAAGTTAGAAGAATTAAAGCATGAATTATTTAAGAAACAAATATTTGGTATTGTTGCTGCATATGCATATGTTATTGAATTCTAAAAAAAGAGGTCTTTCACATGCTCATTTTTTTATTATTTTAAAAAAACAATGCTAAATAATTACACCAGAAGCTTTTGATAGAATCGTTGTAGCTGCAATCTCAAATATGGATGAAAATATTCAACTATTATTAAACATATGATGCGTTGTCCTTGTAGAAATTTAAATCCAAATTATACTTGTATGAAAAAAAAAAAAAAAATACTACATTCAGATATCATTATCCAAAAGAATTTTGTTCAAACATATACTTGGGAAATATTGAAGATCGAAAATATAGAAGAAGAAATGATGGACACACCGTAAAAATAAGAGAACATTATTAAAATAATCAGTGG